TTTTTTTTATTGTTTAGTACCAACGAATAAAGGGCAGATGCCACCTCAGAAGAAAATGCGAGAGGTTAGCTTTTGGTACCGTTCATTATCTTTTTGGGAAAATATGTAGTCATGGTGTTCGAAGTCTTCAACATGAGCTGCTTCATGTTCCGTAATGTTTTAGCATAAGTTTGACACCCCGCGGTTGCCTATTCATGATGTCGAATTCCAAATTATGGAAGCCCTTCACAGTCATGAAACTGTTGTCCTCATCGGTGAAACTGGTTGTGGGAAGAGTACGCAAGTGCCGCAGGTAGGTGTGAATAAAATTTCTTAGTCATGTTGGAACCGTTTCACATAAGCCGAATGGTAGGCCTTCAGAAAATCACATAAGCCGAATTTTCTGAAGGCCTACCATTCGGCTCGTCTTTTTTAAGATGAAACTCAGGATGGGAAATTATTTTACCTTCACGCATACAATAAGTAGTGGGCAACAATTAAATTGGCTGGCTGGGTTTAATTTTGAATTACGGGACTGTGCATTTCTCGTGGTTATGGTAGTATTGTGGAATTGTGAGTTACGGTTTTTGATAGTTGTTTTTCTTTGCTATTCATCAGTTTATGCAGATTTTTATTTTCCAGTTTTGCGTTCGAATTGGGCTGGGTCGGAAAGGCCGTATAGGTGTAACTCAACCACGCCGTTTAGCTGCTGTTTCTCTTGCCAGTCGAGTGTCCGAGGAACTCAGTTCACCTTTGGGACGAAAGGTACACTTCTATGAGTTCTGTTATACACTTCATGAGAAGCGTCACTTCCGTTCTTCCATTAATTTTGGTACTATGAAAAGCTCCCGGCTAATGATCGTACGACTTTAGGTAGGATACCATGTCAGATTCGAGAGGGAGCTGTCAGAAGAGACTAAAATTGTTTTTCTAACTGATGGAATTCTGCTGAGGGAAGCCATCCATGATCCCCTTTTGAGAGACTATAGCACCATCCTCGTCGATGAAGCTCACGAGCGTAGTCTTCATACTGACATCTTACTAAGTAAGCGTTTTTGCTTGACCTCCGTGTTTCTAGCTTAGCTATTGACTGCTCTCATACTCTGTGTTGGCCAGAGGTCGCTGACGTCGGCTAAATAACGTGATCTAAACCCATGCTTCTGCCAGGATTTCATGCCTTCAAGGTGCTCAGACCTGCAAGATCTGCATCGCTATTCAAACTACTGAGCATCTAATGTGAAATGTAACCAGTTGAAATAGAAGAAGAACTCTAAAAGTTTGAAATCATGGCACGAATTGCATGAATTCAAATTCGAATTCAACCCTAGTAATTTCCCTGTATCTTTCTCATCTGATAGGTTACTGGTGCATTCCGAGTACTTTGCAATTGATTGTTACTGAAGATTTTTCTAGACGTCTTACGATTATGTCAGCGGCAACGGAAGGAAACCGACATGCTTCCACTTCGCATAGTCATCATGTCTGCTACCCTGGAGGCTGAACTTTTCTCAAAATTTTTCAACGATGCTCCGGTATTTGTTGTCAAAGGTCGAACTTTTCCTGTCGAGGTTTGCTTGCTTGACAATATACAAGCTTTTATAAATGTTTTGCATGAGGTCTCAGGCAAGCCCGAGTTTTCTTCAGGTTTATCACGCAGAGCTCAATCCTGATAACGCTGACTATGTCTACAATGCTCTTGTCTGCATCAAAGATTTACATCAGGAAGAACCTTTAAGGTATCAGGTCTAGATTATGTAGGCAGCGTTTTATACTTCAATTAAATGTGGGGGTTTTTGGAGTGGTCTGTTAATTCTTTTTCTTTTCTACCATGTCTTTCCCTCCATTTTAAGTGATCATTTTCTTGTTTTCTTGACGGGTCGCGAGGAGATCGAGGGCGCAGCCAAAAAACTGAAGGAACTGAATGAGCATTTCACTTCTCCTATTTTCCCTGTTCCACTGTTTGCAGCGATGAGCAGTGTAGCTCAAATGAGGGCGTTCGAGCCGCCACCGGAGGTAAGTTGCTGAGTGAAAATTTCTTTTCTCATTTATGGCTATATTTCTTTGATAATCGTGAATTTTTGTGGAGTTCACTGACGCTCCGCTTTTTGGTATTAATTAACGTGTCTCACTGCAATTCTTGTGTCAGCAGGATTTGAAATTTTTGTTCAATCAAACTTTGACTATAAGAAACAGAATTTCCTTTTTTCTAACTACAACAAATTTGACATGTGTAATCGACTCCTAATTTAATTTCCAGGGCCACCGAAAAGTCGTGCTGGCCACGAATATCGCAGAAACATCGCTTACTATCCCCGGAGTACGCGTAGTAATTGATTCCGGAAAAGTTAAGACAAGGTAAGTTGTATTACACAGACAAGTGTTATTGGAGAGGGGAGATTGAGGCTGAATTAAGCATTGGGGCCTTTAGTTACATAAGTAAAGTAATTCATATTACCTCATGCTGTCGAAGTGTTCGATTGCTGTAAGTCAGTAATTGCGATTTCACAACTATATCTTCCTTTCAATAGTTTCAACGCTATTTATATTTTATTCGTAATTTTTAAATCAGTTTAAACACATAGTTTCAAATGGAGTACTTTCGTTTCACTTTACTTTGTCCAAAAACAGCTGAATTTTTGAATAATGTGTATATGTTATGCAAAAGCTGAGCGTGCCTAATCACAGAGGACATGTAAATGCTGATCCACCAATCTTTGTTGCGATAACGATCGATATGATCAATGATGACGTTGGTTGAAGCTGACCCTCATGCTATTGTAAGAAAGTTGCTGGCAAGGCCGACGCGTGCATAAAAGTGGTCACGAGGGTATCGAAAACTTTGACTAGTTAAAAAGCTGTATGTTAAGGTGCCACATGTGTTGAAAGAGGTTCACTTGATGCCACGACACTATTTACGTTTTACACTTCAACCGCAATGAAGGTGCCCCATTCTTGAAGCAAATAATGGATGACAATAAAAACCGGGTTGCTTACAATAATATTACTCAGTCATGGTCAGTGCCGAAGGAACCTGCACAAACGAGATCAAAGTTGATCATCATCAAAAGATGGTCACGCTACCAATTTGATGTAATTACAAAGGTATATTATAGTTTGAAATGCTCCGACGGAATCAGAATGCTGTTTGAGACCTCCACTTATAAGATCTGAAGAGTTAAAGAAGCCTTTTGGTTATAGCGAGTTCTAAAGGAGTAGCGTGCATTAGGACGGACGAGGCAAGACTGCATACGATTTTGGTAACTCAGCAAAAATTATCAAAGCCTGTTTGAAAGTAAATGCTGCATCCATCATATAGCCTTGATGTCGCGCCATCATAACATTTATTCCGTTCGTTATAGAACTCTTCGAATGAAAAAACCTTCGACGATGGTGACGATATCAAACTTATGCAGTTCAATTTTTTTGCAAAAAAAAATGAGTGAGATAGGAGCTATGAAATAATCAGGGGGATGACAAAAGATAAACAAATGTAATGGGATATATATCACTATTTATGGCTCGTTCGTTACGAGAGATTTTTTTCCTGAAACACTCAAAAATCGCAATTACTTTCCGAGCAATCGAAATGTTCGATGCCGACTTCTCACTGATCAACATGTTTTTTACTATATTGTTGGCCATTTCTCGAAACAGTTTCTTAATTGGTTATTTCCACAACTTGTGAACATTCCGTAATGCGCTATGAAACACTACCAAATTTCGTAGAAAATTCTATCTATTCAACTGATAATATGCAAGCAAGGAATTTTCAAAGCGTGATCCTAGTTTACACGTCAGGTCGTTCACTGCTGCTAATCGCATAGATGTTCTTCGAATACATGATATAAGCAAGGCGCAGGCGATCCAGAGGGCTGGACGGGCTGGGCGTGAGGCCCCAGGGAAGTGTTATAGGTAAGCTACTCGCCAAGGAGACTCATAATTGAGATAGTTTCTATTTTTGTTTTTATGCTTATATTTCAGACTTTATCCATTCCGTCACTTCGAGAAGCTGGAAGCTACAAGCGTTCCCGAAGTACTCCGTAGTAATTTAGCAACGGTAAGTACTAGAAAATAGCATTCTCTTGCTCAGTGTTGCATTTTGCGTTGAATCTCAAGCGCCTTGAAGGTTATGATGAAGCTGCTATATATTCTGTGCTCAAATCAGACTCGTCTTCGGATTAAATTGCAAGTTTCAAGGTGTTGTTGGAAATGTTAGCCCTCGGACTTCGACGACCTCGGAAGTTGAAACTGATACAGCAGCCCGAAGAAGAAAGTATGATAGCTGCTGAACGAGAGTTGCTGGTTCGTTTGTTTTGGCCTGGTTTCACTCATATACAGTCATCTTTATTGTTAATTATTTAGCTGGTATCCATGATTCCGCCTAAGTTACAGTCCTTAGTGCTCAACACAAGTAAGCTGATTCTGAAGTTTTCCATTGCTTCACCTACCCAATTCCACAAAAACAGCAATATCCACTTCACTGAGTGGTATTTCTGTCTTGTTTCTAATATTTCTTCGTTCTCCGTTTGCTTTACCCTTTTGATTGTCTCCGACAAGAAGTTTTGACTTGAAGTTCATGTATTTTTTCAAGATTACAGAGCAAAAATATGTACCAATGTTTACCAAAAATGTTTACGTTTTTGCCACTAGTTCATCAGTGGCAGAAACGGGAAATTTCACAAAAATTCAATCAAAGATACAGTCGTGATCTTGTCATTTCTGAGGGTTGATCAAGGTTATGTGGCGAAAAGGGTGTCTGAACGCAATTTTGGTCGCTGCTTAGCAAAGTGTTTCAGCTGTAAGCGCTTATTAACTAACGGTTTTACAACTCCATTTTGTTTTACTTCGCAATCTGGAAATCTGGTGGAATGTGATAACACAACAGTCTCAGTTCTATAATCCTGGACGGTTTTGGTCGGTTCAATTGCTATGCGATTGGTCGTTGTAATATTATTATTTGGGACAAACTTTAATAAAAACTTCTCTAAAAAACGGTTTAACTTTCAGCACACCTTTCTTTCCTTTCAATTGCTCGTCCATTTCACCACCTCAGTCGGGAATACACAGAAAGCAACATGGTTTTTATATTCAAATAGACTTCATCAGTGCTACTTAGCAGTCTTAATGTGCGACTAATTCATACATGTTGATTAGTATCATTGGAACAGATATTGCCTGAATTTCTTTGCATGCCTCTGCCTCTGATTCTAATATACTTTCTTGTTGCCAGGTAGATGTATTTTTGCTCCTCCTATGGTCAACATTACCTCAATACTTTTGATTCAGGCTCTCGGAGCAGCTAATATCAATGGTAAGGAGATGGTTTTGACGCCTATTGGACGTACGCTCTGTAAATTCCCTCTATCTCCTGATCAGGCAAGGTATTGTCTTATTGTTGACCGATGTTCTATTATGAAATGTTGAACGTGAATTTTTTTCACAAACATACATGTACTTGCGAAACCAGGTGGAAAGACTCAAAGTTTTTTTTAGAGTTCTCATTATTGCTGATGAATTGGCTTGTATGGAAGAAGCGTTGACAATCATAGCCTCTATGTATTGTGAGACTGTTTTCGAACAAGATGGATATAATGACAGTCAAGATATCGACCGAATAAGAGCACGGTGGGTTACTTTGTATGATGCGTTGATAATATACATACCTTGACGAAGTTACGCTACAGACAAGAAACCATGAAAAAAATGCAACTTCCCCTTCATTCAAGTCTTTTTTTTTTTGCCCTATACACCACCTAAGTGATATGGCTTACTGCGAACCGTTCTACTTCTCCTGATCTATATTTAAATTTTTCCTCTGTGGTTTAAGATGAAAATCTTACTGTAGGAAGGGTAAAGCTAAATGACTTTTATCTCACAATCGGTTCAGTATAGTTATTGATGCATGGTGTAATATAATAGTAATGTCTGCAGTGTATAGCATGTGATAATTTCCTTACTCTGAGATGTGATTCTCTAGAAGTTTGTCTCAGGTTTGCCTCTAACGAGAGTGACCATCTCACCGTGATGAACGTGGTGCACGCATTCAAGCAAGAAAAGCAAAAGAATGTCGAGCATTTGAAGGTAGGAGGGACTGTCAACTCCGGAAGTAACAATCGCTTTTTAACTTAGAATGGAGTGAATTAGGGAATGGTTGGGATGCCTACAGTGATAGGTAGCTTCCAACTATCCGACTTCTGTGCATCTACAACTGTAGCAGTTTTGATGCCCTATTATCTCGAATTATTCTAGGAATGGTGCAGCCATAATCATCTCAACTTCAAGAATCTCACAATGGTGTTGAAAGTTCGTAAACAACTGCGTGACATTGCAATGGAATGTGGCATGAAAATGATGTCATGTGGCGCACAACGGGAAAAAGTGCGGTGAGGGCTACGGACTGTAACTGTTTTTTTTTCGTTAAGGAATCTTTTTCAATCCTTAAAGTTACGCTGCGTCATTCTTATAGTAGGATTTCAAAATTCGTTGTTCAGACAAGCGCTGGCTTGTGGATTGTTCATGAACGCGTGCGAGTACAGTCGTCAGGAAGATCGTTATCGCTTACTAGTCAAGCCCGGAACAACTTTGAAGATCCACCCTTCATCAAGACTGTGCCGTGTGAGTGTTCAGCTGTTACTTTTTGATCTTCAGATTTCTTGTTCTTTGTTGTACAATCCCCTAATATAGTATTGTGGTGATTTTTTATACTGCAGTCTCGTCCTCGCCATATTGTCTTCACAGATCTTGTGCAAACGACGGACTTATATGCCAGGTATTAAAGAATATCTTTTGTTTTACTCTTTCAAATCAAACCAACCTTCAGTATTGCTAAGCAATTCAGAGGAGTATTTACAGTGTCAGTTTGACTAAGTGTACTCATCTTATGAGATTCTTGGTTATCCTTGAGAGCTAAGCTTCTCCAATTACTGGCATATCTGGCTTTACCGCATAGTTTCCCTTCATTCTTGGTCATGATTGTTAGGGATAAGTTATTTATTCCATGATCAAGAAATGTCTTTCCAAGTTGCAAGATGATCCTTGCAATACTCGCGCGTTGCCAAACGAGTGTAGAGGTTAACATGATTTTTTTGTTATACCTATTGGAAAACCTATAAATTAAAGGGATGTGTCGATCATTGATTACGAATGGGTTCAACCAGCCCTTGAAGAGTACAGAAAGAACATGAAGACCTATGCCTAGCTCCAAGGCTGTGATGCACAAAATATAATTGAATGCTAATTGTTGAATTTTAAAAGCCTAGAATTAGAATTGTTGTGATTGTTGTTGGACTGCCATTTTGTTTTCATTGTTGATTTCATTGTTGAGGTGTTTATTTTGTTAACAATTATTTTACAGTCATAACAATAGTTTTTAAATCAATGAACGATTGGATTGTATGAAGGTTTTTGTACAAGAGTTACTGAAAGTGGTGAATCTTTTAACCAATTCAATGAAGCTTCTTTATTTTACTTCTCTTCTATGAATTTTCTTGTAAAATGTAGCATAGATCGGGTGGCACACTGGCACACTGGCGCATTTCACAAGGTCATTCAAGGCACCTGGTTCGAATCCTGGATTGAAACTCGCCAAAGCCAAGCAAGCCTTCCATCCCTCCTGGGTCGAGTAGATGGTACCAGACTCGTTTGGTATGACTAAAGCGCTAAGTTGTTCATCGAATGGTCGTGGTAAGGCACTGTATAGGCTAAGCGCATATTCAAAACGTCATTGTCGTTTTAATAGGTCATCTCGTCCAAAAGTTTACAAGCTTTTTTTCGAATAAAGAATAAATTGAGGAACAATGGATATAAAACTGATGGTCAGGTGGTAAGTCACGCAGGTCCCACTGTTGTCAGCTACCCATTCTCAGCGTCCAGGTAGCCTGACAGCTTCTCTTCAGTAAATACTGATGGGTTACTGTTTAGGTCTGCTTTTGTAGCCGACCAGATACCAAAGCGATTGCCACTGACATGTGTCTCCCTTTGAACGGAATCGTAGAGGTCGCACGCTAGCAATTTGGGCGATTACGGTGGTCGCATCCAGAATTCGATATATTCTCTTCAGAATGTCGCGCAACTTTAGCTGCATGGGGCTTCGCATGGTCATAAATAATATTCTCCACCAACACTTTCACTTTTCAACTTGAAAGCACAGTTTACGATAAAAATGGTTTTGAGATTTCCCATAGTATGATTCGATGCCCCCTCGTATACCACACCCAGCGCTATTCAGCGGAAAACGACCTAGTTAGGGCATTATCAAGACTCAAATATTGTACCGTTTGTATCCTCGGGCGTGTTTCACCGGCACTTTAGAGAGTGCACCGATCACTAGGTTAGGAAGTTCAAACAACTTGACATACCCATAGCGACAGTGAAAGACAGTTCTGTACAGTTCTGGCTCGATGTAGTCAGCTCTTCGTGCAATTGCAATGACTGAAATCTCGTCCGAAAACCCCTTCTATGTTATTTCCGTCATGGTAAACTCGCCTAACCTCTATTTTCCTTTCTTTGAGGAGCCATATTTTTCTCGAGTTCGGCGAATTCTCTCGCTTTCTTTTCTACCGGTGTACTATTCACAACCTATATTACCGCTTCTCGGATGAAAAGCATTACATCGAAATTATCGTGAACTGTGCCTTCAACTGGAGCACTTGAGATTAGCTATAGTGAAATGACGGTTGTCCACGAATAAGTGGCAGTGTTGTAATGTCCTACCCTTCTCTTAACAGTCCCTATCTGGTCGTATTGATTTCTGTTACTTATCATCGGGTGTCCTCTCTATTTTCAGTTTTTGTAAAGGATGTGAATTCGCTCGATCCTTGCTCGCCTTTGAAGTCACACCAGTACTACAGCTAACTATTGGCAGGCGGTGAAGTCGAGTCTCGCTAATGATATTGTCTAGGGTCTTGAACAATACTAAGAACACGAGTGAGAGTTTTCTGATTCAGCATATGGAATATCTTGGGGAAATTATCAACAACAATTTTACGAACATTTCTTCTGCCAAATAGTGAGCAATAATTAAATCTTTATTTCCTGTGTAAAGTGAATGAGAAGAATGTCGAGATATTTAAAAGGTAGTTTCGTTAGTTCCTGTAGTGTTCTCCTAATGCAGTCTCAGAATCGTTTTCGGAATCTTCGACTGATCCACGTCGTCGTGTGGGAAGAACGGATGACCAACGGCACTGCAAAATCATCAAAAGTTCGGCGATAACCAGGATCACTCGCAAGCAAAGGAATCAGACTCAGAACAATGTTCTGAGTCTGATTCTATGCTATTGATGCTTGAACTCTTGTACAATCTGCTTTTTTTCACTTCAACTCGTGGAATTGAATCTTATCTGAGGATCGGGCTGGAGCTCTTTTAGCTCTTCATTCCGTTCTCTTGCCGTGATCTTCAATCTCCCATTCATGACATGAAATCCAGTAAAAACGAAATACAACGTATAGACTTACAAATCGAAGACAAAAAGCCTTATTCGAGTCTTCACGCTCTTCAACTGTTCCATCTCGTCGTCACTCAGCGTGAAGTTGAAAATAGAAATGTTCTCAATGACTCTAAACAGAAAGCCGTACTGTTATTAGGTCTCCATAGTATCAAAGTAAAATAGTGAATCTCTCAAAAAACAAGTTTTCGGAGGGCGAGTGTCTCAGGAGGGGATTCGAGCGTCAACGACGATTTTTGCCTTGTGTTTCATTGGTATGGAACGGTGATAGGATTGATTGGGAATGGCAGTATGTAACAGAGAGCGAATGAGCTGCTAGGTAGGTTCAATAACTGTGCTGAATAGTTTTACTGGCCCTGGCAGCAGTGATAACGTGGAACGAAATCACAAACATTTCTGGCATTCACTAAAAGGAGCAAGTTTAGCTAAGATGCGCTCGAACTGTTTACGTGACATAGTGCTGGAGAGTGTGGGCATGACTGAAAGAAAATGAGAGAAATCTGAGTTTACAGAAGCAGGACGAACAATTGCAGCTCTCACACTGTAACACTCCATACAGACAGAGGCCTCAAATTTAAACTTCAAAAGAGATCATCGCTAATAAAAGAATGGAAATGGGGTCCACTCGCCTGTCTGGACTGATGCTTTTTGGTATTGCCGAGATGCCGCGTTGAGTGAGGTGTCGCAAAAGGATCTGAAATTGTTGCTTGTAATGGCATAGTAGAAGGCTCAACTCGGAAAGAACTCATTGTGTTTGATTTGTTTATTGGATATAGTGACATTAGGCTCATACATATCATGTCGTAAGGAAAGTCCTTGCAGTTCTGAGAGCTCATTTGTAAAAAGTTATAAACCTGTTCAAAGTTAACACTTTTATTCAATACGAGTCCCATTAAGTTTTACACCTCCTATGGTATCCTGGTGGTCTGGATTTCGAGAATTCCAGAAAGGTAGTTACTACATCGTATTGCTTTTTGAATACTCGATTAATCAAGAAATTCTCCAGGTGTTCGAATAAATTAAAGTCGGTGATGCCAATTCTTGTGAGTATGGAGAATAGTTCAACTTCTGAAAGACGATTTGCCGCACATGTGGTCTTGCATTGTAGTGCAAAAGCAGTGGCCCGTAGCAGTTCACTGGTGCTGGCTGCATCCTCTCGATTTTTTTTGGTTACATCTCATGGATTTGATCGCAGTACGACTGTGCGATGATCGTTGACAGTCTAGTGAACTAGGGAAATCAAACGAAGTCCAGGACGGCCACCAACGAGATGGTCAGACTTCTTCACGAAAGCTCTGAACGAAAGGAATGTTGTAGCGTGTGTTACTGAAGCGAGGGCGTTTCAGTGGACCACTCTGGCTCGTGACAGGGACAAATGGAGACGTTACTGGCACCCGCTCGAGGAAATCGATGATCAACGGGACGACAGGTGATACAGGTGATACGACTATGCGGTGATGGTTTGACCTAGACTCCTGACTTGTAAACTTGGCTCGGAAAAATTCTTTGGAGCTTGTTCTACCCACCGAGCAAACCGAGCAAGTCGTTTTTATTTGTCATATACATAGTATCCATTTTCATCACACGCTACGTCTGATGAAGGAGAGACTCAACATCATTCAGTCAGAGCAGTGGATTTGAGATCTCTAGGCGCTTCAAATGCTGCTGCTACTTAAGTTGGTGTGGCACCCATTTGTGAAGTTTATTCACCATTTCAAGCTGTTTGAGTTGGTCAGCAACGGTTGTGTGGTTAACGCCCATATTTTTGGCGATTCCTGTCAAGATTTGAAGTCGATCTGCCCGCATTGCTCACAGCAAAGCGGGCAGAGCTCCGCTAAGCTAACATGTGCTCTGTTGATCCTGTCCTATGTTCCAACCCATCCAAAACTTGTTCCAAATTCTCCAGGTGCTTCTTAAGGTAATTTCCGTATAAACAAATAATTAAATAAAAAAAAACAAAAGATGATAAGACAGAGAGACAGCAGACAGACAGACAGACAGACAGACAGACAGACAGACAGACAGACAGACAGACAAACAGACAGACAGACGGAGAGACAGACAGACAGGCAGACAGACACAAGCGCGTTATGTATAGTAAGTATTAGTGGTAAGGAAAAAAGGATAGTAACAGTTAGTAATTCCGAACGCAGGCGTTATATATGCTTAATGTATCCTAGAGTTGCAACATTGAAGTTCAAATATGACGAAAGGTGGGCTATGATAACTATGATAAGTAGTAACCTGTGCTGGAGTTTTGTCATGCTTGGCGGCTATTTCTTTGACAATCGGCTCTGTCATCGGGTCTCCCTCAGGCCAAACGCCATCTGGTCGAGCAGCCTAAAAAATTATGGTTCTCATTATTGTGAAGCAGTGATAGTTTAACTGCCCAAAAGCACTTCGTTGGGAATTCTACCTTTCTGCCAGGTGATCCGAGAGGGGCATAGGCAGTGAGCGATACATTGAGTTGTTTACACACTTGCTGAAGTTCCACTTGTGGCAAGTAGATATGACATTCCACCTTCAAAACGAAATAATTTGTAGTTAACAAAAGATGAGAAAGATTGCTGAAAATATTCCTCAATAGAACTCTCATTATGTGCTACCGTGAGGTTTGTCTCAAAAATTGTCAGTGTGGCTCTGACCCATATCGAATCTCTGTGATGGACTTGACGCTGTGTCATAGGCAAATGTCGTGATCATGAGAGACGAACAAAAGCGTTCAGTTTACAGTATGAGATCTATGACAAGTCCATTAAAGTCACTGGCAAGTCCATCGACGCCGCGCAGTAGTGTGGCCTTGAGAGCCTCATTCGTTCCCAATGAAGGAAGCTGGAGATTGCATGATTGAACTCCGTCCAAGCAGGCAATGCCTGGATGAATTCCAATTATGCGATTTATTAGGTTGGCAAATAAGTCCTGCGACAAAATGGAGACCTTTTTTAAATCACTTCTAAATTTTTTCATATCAATCAATTTTTGTAAAAATTTTTACCGACGGAGTCAACAACCTTCTTTCATCCTTTGAGCCAATCACTGATGCCATCTCTCCAGAAGTGAGGGAGCTGTGACTCAAAGAAGTAATTGACTGCCGCTTTTAGATCACATTATATTACCAATTTTTTTCCCACAACGGGATGCCCAAGAAGGCGGAGCACATGGTAGCTGAAAGGGGCAACACTCCGGGAGTACGATCGATGAGTAACCTGGAACCAAGCGGGATCGTTGAACATTTGACGTGGGTTTAAAGCGAATTTTCGACGTGCGTTGTGCCTCTGTAGGGACCTGATTTACCGTTTGATCGTCCTTCTCTAACCCCGTTGGCCTAATAGAGGGGATCAGAGGGGTAAGCGATAGCTGCGTCCATCTAGTCTGCGTTTTGCAACTCATAGTGGATGGATTCCTTCATTCTCTATTAAATTAAGGGACAATGCTTGCGTTACTCCGAAGGCTAGTATCTCCTGCAGTGAAGCGATCCAGGCGATTGTTGACTGTCGATCGGTGAGCAGTGCTAGCATCGAATAGATTGCTGATATTTCGAGCCGCTACCGCCGCGTTTTTCCCTTGACGTGCTTAGTAGAAGGTGTTGGTACGAATCGGGTGTTGTCCATTCACTGACCGTAATGCTGCAAAAGCCCACACGCGTGCCCTTATTTACTCATATGCTGATTGCCCGGGGAATGTCCTACAAGTCTATCACCCCCGCTACCGTGTTTACACCGTTGATACAAATTTTCAATGCTTCGAATTTTTTGTCGCAGGACTTATTTGCCAACCTAATACTTTTAAAAATGCTTTGGTACCATTCGACACACACTCCAATCATCTAACCCATATTTATATTCAATATATAAGGTTCGTTTCCCAACGACCTTAGCTACCTTACTGCACATGGGATGAGGCCGCCCGCAGGACACATATACATGGGCAACTGACTCGACAAGAGAAGCAGTCCTATGAAGCTTCAGTATGTGCTTGACGTTATGCAGAACCTATCTTTTACTGGGTTCGTTCATCAATAAAAGGAAAGTAAGACGATGGAGGGTAATCGAGTTTCAGGTCTGGAAGTCAATCAGTGATTGAAGGCAAAGGGTTAATTAGTACAAAACTGTTTTACCTGAATATTTGCTGGTTTGATGCGCGCCTGACGATGAAGTTGTTCTAACTGCTCAGCGTTGAAGTTTGAGACACCTAATGCCTGAAGCAACATTCAAAACATCTGTTTAAGTGAGCTGTATCAAAAATATAACTTCTTATTCCACAAATCGTAGCCTTAGAAAATCGATCACTTCCTTCGAGTTAATAGAAAGTTCATTTAGGAGTAGCTCGCTCAAAACTTTGGTTAGACAGTAATAAACTGGAGCTTTTAATGACGAAGTTGAACGCGACATCTCAAAAAGGTTCAAGACACATGACAAATTAAAACGCCATCGAGACGTCATCCAAAAACATCAGCTTTACCAGTATTCTTGAAATCAAAAAAAAGGTACAGATTATTTGTTAATCTGAAATAGTTTATGCCTAGAGAGGTGGCATGAAGCATCTTGACTGTTCACCGATTGCCAAAATGCTTCATCTCCCGCCTCCACCAGCCTCTCCCCCTCTAACCCCACCACGAAACATGAGGAGCATCATTTTACTCGTCGGTAATCCTTCATACCAACGCAATGGCTGGACCAACCATCGCTCTACATAATCACTAAGCTTGCATAAGTTGTATTTCTATAGTTCATTTTCTTGATTATGGCTCCACGATGGAATGGGAAAGATATCTTACAATCTTCAATGCCTTTTTCGAAAAATTCATAACCTACCTTGAGCTTTCCTTCATCGTGTAGTTTTTCCATGGCTCTCCATGTTTCAATGTGTTCAATCTTTGTTGGTACAAAGGCGCCATCAACAACGTTTGGGAGGAAACTGTCGTTCTTCCGCTAAAATAAGAAAAATTCATCGCTGACTGACTTCTCCTATGCTTTCGATAGATACATAGTTGTTTCTGCAATGTTGTCAATTTCGTTCACAAAATGGTGGGCTAACTTTCTTCTGTGAGGATCCTTATAGAGAAAAATGCAAAAGAGACGTCATAGTCGTCGCATTTCCTACTTCCTTGAGCATTTCCGCATAAATTTATGGGAATTGAGCAATGATGAACTCTTACCGCACAGAAAATTTCATAGATTTTCTGTTTTCCACTACATTTTTATTAGCGTGATAAAAAGCATCTACATCTGGGAGACTTTGAAGAAGATTTCATCATAAGCTATCACTAGAATTCCTAATCAGCACTTTGAAACGATGATAGCTATTGGGAAGTGTTACCTCAAAAGGGCAAGGGCAATGGATTAGGTAGAGATCGATGTAGTCAAGTCGAAGAGATTCCAATTGCATTTTCACGCATTTCTGCACATCTTCGGCTGCATGAGCGGTGAATGGCAACTGCAAAAGGCTTACTTTCTCTCGAATCATCTGTAACAGTTGCATTGAATGGGTTTTCGCTCTATCTTTGAAGCCTACGCGAGAAAGACACACAGAGCATCCACTGCTCCCTAACTCATCTGAAATGCGTCGTTACTCTCACAATTACCGTCCGTATAGCTCCTATACCGTTCTTCCTCCATGCCAGTCATTTCTCCTAGTCAGTTTGGTCCGTGCAAGGTTTAGTACAATTGCGTTTCTCACTTTCGATAGACTGCATCAATTTCATCCTTTCTTAGCTTGACTTTGTCGAAGGTCTTTACGGAACTCCCCAATTATCGAAGCGCTCTCAATCGTAACTACGATATTAACAGAGCTTCAAAATGACGGTATTTAAAACATCTATTCGAGTGTGCAGGTCCAATGTTCGCTCGTTGCTGACCTCGTAGCAGTGATTTATAGCCTCACCGGAGAAGAAGGACATTTCGTTTCCACTGATAGGATTCAGAATAACTCCGCTAGAAATACGTCATGGAAGAGTTTTGGGATCCTAAGACTCCAAGACTTAAGGGTCAGGACTCCCGAACCTATTACAAGGAAAAATTTCTTTTCTTTTGCGACCTTTTCTCATTGCGACTACCTTATCCCATAAACACTAGGGCACAAAATCCATCAGAAAAATTCCTAAGCTTCTAGGTTTAGGACGGTGATGAGGTAGAACTTGTCCACAATCACGAGTTTTACCACCGTCTGCTTTGAGGTACCTTCCAAGAAGGCACTGGCTAAAAATAGCCTTAGCTGTACCAGTCTACGTTCTTATAATTGATTCTAGTGCTATCAAAGCCTTTCTTCGAGCTGATTTTTGACCTTAAATTTTTCCCATATACATTGTCTTTTACGAGACACGAATAAATATAAAGGTAAAGTTGATAAAGAGAATATGATGATTAGCCCTAAACAAGGAAGATCAGGAAACGAAATACAGCCGCATTTTAGTAGTAGATAGTCTTATTTAGAGGAATGTCGGTAGAAGGGAATGAAGCGCAACCAGAGAGGTTGTGCGACAACCATCAAATTGGACAGCGTCGTTTATCTATCACTCGACCCATCCTTCTTTTTCAAGAGAGAAACTCGGAAAAGAATAATTTTCTGTTGGCCAACCTAAGGCTCGGGCTTTGATTGCTCAAAATACCCCAAGTGGAACACATGCTAATTGCAGTGAATAGGTAAATGGGTTCATAAAAATTTTGTGTTTGGTGGCCTCAATGCTCGTGAAAAGCTCTAGAAAGGCGGTGACGTTGATATGAATAACACCCCACCAACTTCGTTTATTCAAACTTTTCAGAGGTATGAAAATATGCCGATAAAAATAAAAATGTAAGCCGTTTTACGAGTTCTTACACTTCAGAATTTCATTCACTTCAATACTGACTGATACACTTCTACTGTGAGGTGAAGTGAGTGGGAAATCTGCAGAGCCTTCATGACCGTAATCAACTTGCCGACAGCTCGATCTGTCAAACTCGTGAGAATGGAGCTTAGTAAACTCGGCAGAGAATTAGGGAAAGTGTTAATGTTGCGATGAGAGAACTATCAAGAGCCAAGAATGGACCAGAATCTTGGGATCCCAGAATTATCAAGCTGCGTCTTTGGAAGTACCAGGTGTATTGTTTATTATTCATAGCTGCAAGTTGCTCAAAGTCTGGAGTTGTAACTATTCTTCTTCACTGATCGACCAAGGTCTCTGAAACTTCTTTAACACTCACCTTGGTTGTTATGAAGAGCTCTTCCCTTTTGATTTTTCCACTTGACAAGTATTCTTCCAGTACTTTACCAATTATCGCTTCATTCTGATACAGGAACGCTGTGTCTGAAAATAGAAGCATGATTGTTGGGAGCATGTCTCCTTCACCTTTTATACCATACATCTGTTCATAGGACAAACTGAAAGCGTTACATAAGCTTACCGATGAGGCGGTATCCATTGTCGAGTGCTGTCTTCAGGGAAACCGTTAATTCTTGTTCGTCTTTTGCCTAGAATTACCTTCGGTGTTCCGAACAACCTCTTCATCATCTGTTGCATAGGACGTTCCGTATTTTGGGTATACATATTTTTACTTTAACATTAATTTGTGTTCAAGGAAGTTAGAATATATGCTAGTTCAATTCATTTGCCAGTGTTACTTTTCAAGAGGATTTCGCNTAGAATTACCTTCGGTGTTCCGAACAACCTCTTCATCATCTGTTGCATAGGACGTTCCGTATTTTGGATATACATATTTTTACTTCAACATTAATTTGTGTTCAAGAAAACTAGAATATATGCTAGTTCAATTCATTTGCCAGTGTTACTTTTCAAGAGGATTTCGCAGCCACTACCCAGAGTATAGTAGTTTTGTATGTTGGTAATACTTTTTTGGTATCTCTAGTAGTACAGAGCTCTTCGGTGGCTCTGTATGGGAATCACCACTGGTCAGCTACAGTCCAGATACTGTGTACGATCACTGAGGGCGGTAGTTTTTATTTGCACCCCTAGCTAGGTATAAGATGGTCTCCCAAAAGTGCGCGCCACAGTGTAAAAGGATAAGGGATAAAGAATTCAGGCATTGATCAATCTCGTTTGAGGGATGATCCCGCCCCGCCTCCAACTCAAACTCAAAGTGGTACATTATCCTCAATTGAAATCATCCTTCAATAGTCAGGAGCTCTTCACACTGATAAGACATTTATGTTGAGAAGCTACTCTGGTAACTCGGAGGAGTTCGAAAAATCGATGATGAATGGCGAAAGATCGAGGTCTCGTCCTTATTTTGCGAAGGGCACACATATACAGGATAGCGAGAAATTCCTCTTGAACTATGAGCAGGGCTTGTTTTTTATCTGTGTTTTCGAAGCTCTTGTTAATCCACTTCATTGGTTAGCTTTCGGCATATAATGCCTTCTTCAGACCTTAACTTTAC